ATATGGGGAAAAGAAAATCACACATATTGAGGGTTGAAAGCTATATAAGTGCCTTAGGCTGTTGTCATTTTGTTGTTGTTTTGGGATACATGAACCGTGTAATTATTAGGATCTTCGGTTTATAATACATACATTCGTATGTATGTATGTATATATACAAATGGAACTTTACCGTTAGTCCACGTATCCCGTATAATCTGGTTAAAACCTACTTAAAACGAGTTTGATTAGCTAAGCTGCCAAGGAATAGCAGGAGAAGAAAAGGTTTTGACGTAATGATATATGTCATGTTTTAGATAAGTTTCGAGTTATAATCACTTTACAGCTAATGTTATATAATATTTTTCCAAACCTACCCGTTCTTGTTTGGACTTTGGGCAGAAATATTATATAACCTAAATATTTAATGAAGAATACAAGTTTTCTTTTTCCACGGTGTTAAAAGTATATCGTTGATTGAGACCTCCAAGCACGAGGGAACTGCTACGAAGAGAAAATGGGGCCGAGGGATGTATTTGGCAAAAGAAAACACCACACATACATAACTCCAAACAATAAAAATGTCCGGATTCGACTTGGACTATCCTTCATCCTCAAGGATCCCTGCCACTTGCTCTTTCAAACCAATCATACAGCATGGCCGCAGAGAAAACAAACACTCTTCTAAACCCATTATTTTTGTTTTCAGTCACCTCTTCTGTAAACTATTGCTATAAAACATCACATAAATAAATAAAAATTATTTTGTTTAGACGTTGTTGAAGAGCCGACACTTTCAAGACTGTCATTTGACTCTGAAAACACCATAGAACACCTTAAAAGGCCATTAAAAAGTGAACCACACCGCTAAAAACACCATGCATAGTAGAAATCAATATATACTAAAGACCACAATGCACGAGTTGAATACTCAGCCTTGCATATAAGTCGAATTAAAAAAATAATAATTTAATTACAACCTTTTTAAGTTCTTGAAAATACGCAGAATGAATGATCAATAAAATATACGAGGATCAATGGCGGAACGTCCCTTGGACTAGTTGGAGCCATGGCCCCCCAAATATAAGAAACAAATAGAATATATTTTTATATTAAATTTAACGTCTTCGAAAAAAATGTAGATCATAAATAATTAAATTTGATTTTTTTTAAAGAGAAACATTATTTAAAATTTAGAAACTACTTAAATATTATTTATTAAGAAGATAAACATCAAATATTTTATTATTATTTTTTTATTTTTAAATGAAAGAATTTTTTTTATTATTTCTCATTTCAAGATAGAAAAAGTACATGTCTTTTTTTCTTTGGTTTTTTTTGAGTTGAGGATTTTAATCAAGTTATTAAGTATTTTATTTCAATTGAAAGTAATAATCTAAATGATACTTTTAATTTAATTTATATTTATGATTTTATTTGAAATATTTATATTTATTATGTGAGTTCATGAATTTTCATTTCTAAAAACACACGCACAAATAGGAAAATATTTTAAATTGTCTCTGAAAACAGACACAAGTATGAAAATCTTGGTTATATGTTTGTAGACACTCATTTTCACCCGAATTTGAGTTTTTTATTTTTATTTATTATAGGCATATATACGATAATATAGTATAATTTTTGAAAGTGTTTTTGAAAAATATAACATATAGTTTTCAAAAAACGGTTTCCGAAAATATATATATAATATAGTTTTTTTAAAACGTTTTTGAAAACTTATATACAATATAGAAGTTTTAAAACATTTTGAAAATTATATAACATATATTTTTGAAATCATTTTTAAAATATAATGTATAGTTTAAAAAAAACATTTTTGAAAAATTTATATAATATATAGTTTTAAAAATATTTTGGAAAACTTATATAATATTTTAAAATCATTTTTGAAAACTATATGGTATATAGTTTTGAAAGCGTTTTTAAATATAATATATAGTTTAAAAAATATTTTTTGAGATATATATATTATATAGTTTATATTATTATTAGTATTTTTATTATTATTATTTCTTTTCATTTTATTCATTTAATTTCCTTTATTCTGTTTTGTGGTCCAGGTCCAAGATTGGGTCTAAGAGAAGTCCATTGTTTGGGTCCAATATGTTTGGGGCCTGAACCAGCTCAAACCCTATAAATTAGGGTTTACACATCCAAGCAACAGGCGCCGCATGGGGAGTTACCCAGTCAAAGAGGAGAACCGGCTGGCCGGGAAAATCGGGACTGCACCATCCCGGGATTCCCGGCCACGTGAAGCAATGATAGGCCCGAAAGGTACGGGAACGACCCCGTCATCACCGGAAATAGCCCGTGGAGGGCAGAACAGATAGCATCAGTGGTGGGTATAAATACCCACCAAGCCACGGTACTCAGTGGGGGGGGATATCGGTAACAGAACCGAGATACACCACGGAAAACCATCAACGACAGTACACCACCAACGAGCCAAACACAAGACCCACGTCAACAGCGAGCCACAGAAACCAAAGGGTATCAACAACACAGAACCCACAAACACGGTACCAAAACAACCGAGAACCATCAGAACATCATCACAACCAAAGAACCAAACACCCAACGAAAACAAAAATCATCAAAACGCTTTGAAACAACCGAATACAACACCACAAAAAACCAAAAATAGTAAACAGAAACAAACCGAAAGCCAAGCAAAATAAAGAGCAAGCATCGGGAAGACGAAGGGCCTCGCTGGAAAAGGTAAAAGACGAATGGGTTTTCCTTAGATCTACGCAATTTGGGTTTGGTTACGGTGATTCGGGGCTCGGATCTGACCTAAGGGTAACGAGGGGAACATTTTTATGGTTTTGGGTTCTTTCCGGCCGCCGGCGGTGGCGGCCGGAGCGGCGGAGCGACGGCGGTTGACCATCGGTGGTGGGGGCCGAATCTTGGTCGGGTTAGAGAGAGGCGAGAGAACAGATGGTTATCTCGTTGAGGAGAGAGAGAACAAAGTGAGAAATGGCCAAGGTTGGGCCATTTTGGCCTTGGAAACGGGCATATATCACGATAGCAAAACTACGTCGTTTTGCAAGGAGGGACTTCGGTGTAATTTCGTGAGGGGTAAACTCGGTCCTCGGCCATCAGATTTTATCATATTTGTACTTTGGTCACTGAATTTCATTTTTCAGTATTTTAATTTGGAATTTTAATTTATTATGCTTATATTTTAGTCCCCAAGTTATATATTTTTGAATTTGGCCCAAGATTTTATACAGGTTTTATTTTGGTCACTAATTAACATCCATTTTTTTATTATTATTTCTTAAAACCTTTTTATATTCAATTTCCTTTTTTTATTTCTTATTCTTCTATTGTTTTGTTTTTTTATTTATTTATCTATTTGATATTTAATTATTATTTTTCCCCCTAACATTTTTTGACATTTTCATTGGTAATTTCAATCGATCAAAGGTAAGCAATTTGAATCGGGTAGTTTAAATTTTAATTTAAATTTCAAATTTTCGCAATTAAAGATAACCGATAAATTAATTGGTATCGAAAGGGCGGTTCAAGGGTGCTAATCCTTCCTTGACCGTAACTGACTCCCGAACCCGACACATTTTTGGTACAACGCAGATCCGGTAAGATGGTGTCCGACCCACCTAAATTCGTTTTAAACTGGTCGGTGGCGACTCTAACCCAATCAATTCAAGTCGAAGCCCAATTTCGGGGCCCAACCGAAAGACGGTTCCGACAGCTTGGCGACTCTGCTGGGGACAGGTAAGTGAGTCAGGCCAGAATTAATTTTCCGTTGTCTTTTTATGCGAAAATTGTAAATTTAAATTTTAATTTATTTATTCGATTCCAATTATTTACCTTTGATTATTTTTCAAATAAATAGTTGTACTAACGTTTGTTCAATGATTTCAGATTTTTCAAAATTTTCATCTTTGGCTCTATACCCGAGCTCCAAACCCTTTTAAGTGGGGGTAAAAGCGACGCATTCGTGTGAATTTATTCACCGCATATGCCTAGCAAGTAGCCTTCGGGATTCATATACCTTATTTCTTCGTGTGAATTTATTCACCGTGCGGGCATAAGGGAATGTTTCCTCTCGAGTTTAACTTAGTCCACACAAGCTTGTAATGGGCTTATGACTAAGGGTCTGACAAGCCCAAGGGGGCACCAGCAAGGAGAACCCGAGTACCTTTTTAGAACCTAAATCGGGAGATTATAGAGAACTAGAGCCCACCCCGAAACCTCATTCCAAACCCTAGGCTGCTTTGATTTTATTTCCTGCTTTACTTTCTGTTCAAAGCATGTGAACTAGAAATGTATGCGGTTAGGACTAGCTTAAGAATTTGGTCAGTAGTTCTTGATCCACCTTTGAAAATTCTCCTGTTTCTTTCCTCCCAAATCAAATAGTTAAAAGCGTTCCAAGCAATTCTTATGATGATGGAAAGTAAAGATTTTCCTTTCCATTTGTGAGCAGCACATTCAATTCTAGCATCCCAAGTCCTGTGAGTATCTCGTAAGTTGGTAAGAAACAAGATAGAGTTCCAGATAGTAGAAGCAAAGGCACATTCAAAAACCAAATGATTTATGGATTCAGGTTCAACATTGCAAAGGATACATATCTGATCAGTAGTGATTCCCATTTTGAAAAGCCTGTCGTGAGTAGGGAGGCGATCAAGAATAATCATCCAAGAAATAATGCTTTGTTTGGGAATATGGAGAGGAAACCAGAGTATTTTCTGCCAAGGAACTTTATCTCTGTGCTCACTTAGTTCGTCCCAAATGGCAGAGGATTTAGTGATTCCAGCAGAGATGATAGGGAGGGCATCAGTTCACGTTTTAAGAAGTCTTTTAAAGCTCCAGCTTAAAGAAGAACTAATATTGATGTCACTTAATCCACTGTTTTTTAAAACATAACAGTGAATCCAAGCAACCCACAGGGAACCATTGCTTGCAAGGATTTTACGAATGAGTTGGACCATACAAGCCTTATTCCAAGAGCTAAGATCTTTCAAGCCCATACCTCATTCAGATTTGGGGCAGAATATTCTATTCCAGCTAATTCTAGCACCCTTGGCAGGTTTATTTGATCCTTTCCGAAGAAAACGAGCACATGATTGTTCAAGTCGATTAATAACCTTCTGGGAATAAGGAACTGCTGACACCAAAAATTAACAACACTATAAAGGACAGTTTTAATAAGCTCAAGGCGTCATGCATAACTTAAAAATTTTCCAGACCAATTGTGAAGTCTTGTTTTGAAGTTATCAAGGAGAGGCATACAATCAGTTTCAGATAGTTTTTTAGTAACCAGAGGGACACCAAGATATCTAATAGGAAGAAAACCATGTTTAAAACCAGTGGCAGATTTGATAGAATCAAGAGTTCCAATAGAAATATCAACAGCAAAGAATTCAGTCTTATTGATATTGAGATTAAGACCAGACAAGGTATAAAAGTGATTAAGAACAGTGGTAACACCAACATTAGACTCAAGATTACCTTTGCAGAAAATCAAAAGATCATCAGCAAAAGAAAGATGAGTGATACCTAGTTTCTTGCATTTAGGATGGTATCCAAAGATACCTCTAGCAGCAACAAGATTGAGGATTTTAGAGAGAATGTTCATAGTCATCACAAAAAGAATAGGAGAAAGAGGGCCCACTTGCCTAATACCTCTCTGACCTTTGAAAAAACCTATTAAAGTTCCATTAAAGGATATGAAATAAATAGCTTCTCTATAACAAGCTTCAATCCATCCTATGAAAGTGGGAGGCAGACTAATGGCAAAGAGGGTAGAAGAAATGAAATCTCAATTGAGAGAATTAAAGGCTTTTTGAAGATCAATTTTTATTGATGCCCTTGGAGAAATGTTTTTCCTACCATAGCCTTTTACCAATTCTTGAGCAAGAAGAGTATTATCCATTATAGATCTTCCTTTCACAAAAGCAGTTTGGTTGAGGGTAATGAGATCAGGGAGCAGCAAAGAAAGTCTTTTAACAAGGATTTTTTTGATAATTTTGTATATCACTACGCAACAAGAGATGGGTCTGTAATCTTTGACTTTACTAGGGTTTTGAATTTTAGGAATCAAGGCTATAATGGTGGAGTTGAAAGCAGGGGGAATTTTAGCCTCTTGAAAGTAGTAAAGAACAACATTGATAATAACCTCCCCTACCACAGACCAAGAGTTTTTGAAGAACATAGGAGTGAAACCATCAGGGCCAGGGGCTTTGTCATTTCCTTGGATAAACAAAGCTTCTTTAATCTCTTCAACAGAAACTGTTTTGGTAAACTCAGAAGAAGTCTCAGAAGGAAGAGAAAAACGCAACAGATTTTTTAAGAAGGCAGAATCAATAGGAAGAACATTAGGGTCAGAAGTTCCTAATTAATTCTTGAAGAAATCAATGACCTCATTAGCCATTTCATCATAGGACTCAAGTCTTTTACCCTCATTGTTAATAAGAACCCTAATGGTGTCTCTTTTAAATTTAGAGGCAATAGCAGTGTGAAAAAGTTTAGTGCATTTGTCACCATCTTTAATCCACCTCACCTTAGCTTTTTGCTTAAGGAACATGAACTCATTATCTTCAAGGGCAAAAAGCTCCTTTTGAACAGTTAACTCTTTTTCAATAGAATTATGCAAATTTAAAATAGAAATTTGAATTTGCTCCAGCTCAGTTCTCTTAAGCCTTACCCTTGCAGAAATATCATTATAATTATCCTTGTTAAGCTTATTCAAGCAAGGTTTTAAACGTTTAAGCTTGAGGAAAAGTTTCTGTAACGGGTTGCCATGGATAGGAAGTTGCCAGGAGGATTGAACAACTTCAAGATAATTAGGGTGTTTGGTCCAGAAATTGAAGAATTTGAAAGGCTTAGGTCTATTAGTTTGAGTTTCTTTAGAAGTCCAGACCATGGCCATACTGTGATCAGAGGGACCTGGGGCAAGAAATTCAACAAAAGATCCTTGAAAGGAGGAAGCCCAAGGAGGATTGATTAACAACCTATCCAGTTTTCTAGCAAGATAAGTTTCTTTTTGTTTGTTGCTCCAAGAAAAGGTGGGGCCAAAGAAGGGGTGATCTTGGAGAGATAGGTCTTGAACTATTTCTTGAAAGTCAATCATATCAGTTGTAGAGTAGGGGCCAAGAAGGAGAGAGTCAGAGCTTTCTTTATGATGGAGGTAGGTGTTGAAATCACCTCCCAGAATCCAAGGTTGAGAACCATACATGGAATCAAGAAATTTGAGATGCTGCCAAAGAGATCTTCTTTGAGAACCACTATTACTGCCATAAATGGCAGTGATAATGAAATAAGTGTTATTACTAAGGCATTTAACAGTGATACTTTGATCAATGGAGTAGCAATGAGTGAGATCAATGCCTATTTTCCAGAGAAGCCAAATTCTACCATTGACAGCAGAATCATAGTTATTAATGATATTCCAGTTCCCTAAAATATTATGAAAGATTTTATCAGAATTTTCAGGTTTGATCCGAGTTTCAAACAAACATAGAACATCAACATTATAGAGATTAGCTCTATTCAGGAATTTAATCTGTTTTTGAGGATTATTGAATCCTCTTATGTTCCAGAAAGAAAAGATCATTGAGAAATAGAGGATGAAGAGCCTTCTACAATTATTCCAGGGGTACTTTTGATCTCATTAATATGGTCTTTCTTTTTAGACTTGAGTTCTTTGATGAGTTTTGCAACCCCAACAGTAGCAGTTCTTGCTTTCCTGGGTTGAATCTCAGAAGAAGAAGATTCATCTACTGTGGAGAGGATTTCAAATCTATTTGTTGAACCTCTTATAGTAAATTTTGATGTGTTTTTAAGGGGTCTACCTCTACCTCTTTTAGGCTTAATTATAGAGTTATTTGTTATGGGAGCAGAATATGGAGGCTGATCAGGTTATTTTGAGACTTTAGAAAAAGGAGGTTCAAAAGACTGTTATTTATTATCCTCAATTGACAAATCTATGGGAATAAGAAAGTCACTTTTAGAAAGTTGAACCTTTTGAATAGGATTGTTATTTCCAGGTTCATTAACTTGTTCTTTACCATTTGAAACAGTATGATCTTTTAAAGGGATAGCATCTGGCAGTGAATTTTGCAGGGAAGGATCAGGCAAAGGAATAGGCATGGATGATTTTTCTTGAGGATTAAGATCAAAGTTTTCATTGTGATTATTTTTTATCCTCCAGATTTTAGTAGTAGTAGGGGCAGAGGATGTTTTGGCTAAACATCCTTTATCTGAGTGACCAAACGTATTGCATCTCCTACATCTACTAGGAAACCAAGGAATATCAACAAAGATAGTAGTTGTAGTACCATTAGTTAGCATTACTTCAACAGTTTCAGGCAGTTCGTCTTTAGTCCCTATCTCGATACAAACCTTAGCATATTCTAACCTAGATTTGGAAGCAGTAATTGAATCCATTGAAAGAGGTACTCCTAGGGCACTGTCTATATAGCTAAGGCCTTCCTTTGAAAACAAAACTGTTGAATTTTGATTGATTACATTTAATTAAATTTCATCTTTTAAAAGTTAAATTTTATAGTAATTTATTTTTATTAAATTTTTTTATCAAATTAAATTAAACATTTTATTTATTTTAAAAATCAAGTTTAACACACATTAATATATATTAAATTAAAAATCGAATTATATTTTTACCATATCAAATTAAAATCGAACAGACAAAAATTTCATCTTGTCCCGTTACACAGTATCCCATCAATGTCCAGTTCTAACATACAAACAAAGCATCAAGGCTAGTAGTGTCATTTCGGATGCTTGCCTTAAAAAGGACCTTTGGGCTTTGTCTGTGTTTTCATTCCACTAAACTGGAAACGAAACTAGTTTCCCAGAACCAAAGGGAACTCGCTGTTCGGTGTTCTTCGCTTCAGCAGATTTGTTATTTTAAATGCGGGACATATTTATCTCAAATCTTAATGCAATCTGGATCTTTCAAAAGGTCAGTCTTTTTTTTTACTATTCCTTAATTTAGATTTATCGTTGCTGAAGTTTTTCTTTTCCCCTATTAATGAAATATTAATTATTTTTAGTTTGCTTAATTAAAAATGTAGCATTTATGGTGGTGCTAACTCATCTTGTAATGTTAGGAACTTATAAAAGTTTGTGTCTTTGGATCTTGTTCAACAAAGTAGTGTAGGTCATAGTTATGTGTTCTATTGAGTTGGGGATAAAAAAAAAAGTAATCCATGGTTCCTGATGAAAAATCTACAATCATTTTTATCTGCTGCTAATGTGACATTGGTTTAATGGCAAAGGAGTAATTTTAGGTTTCGGGTTCGGACCCTGAATCAGTTATTCAGTTTTGTGCTAATAATGATTAATTTTGATTGAAATTGTTGCTATAGTTGTAAGTTGTAACTTTGAAATAAAAAAGGTTATTAAGAAACTATGATTCTTTGGTTTCTAACTGTGTGAGTGTGTGTTCTCTTAATGCTGGATGATAGAAAAGAGATGAGACAATTGTTATGATAAACTGGAAGAGAAAAGAGGAAAATTAAAGCTGTAGAAAGAAAATGATGTAAACTGAAGTTTTACTGAATATATGAAAATGAATACTAAGTTCATAAGCTACAGAAAGAGTACTTCATACTTAGGTCATGTATAGTGGACAGGCCCACTATATATAGCACAGGGCTTAACTAATTGGCCCAACTAACAGAGTTCAGTTATAACAACTTAACTAACCAGAAACGGTTACTGCTCATCAGCTGAGGACAGCTGCATTATTATACTCTAACATTCTCCGGGTTTTCTAATGATCTAAATTACTATTTCAACATTTTCTTGGCTTCTTCAGACCTGCTTTTCACGACTGGTCCCACTAATTTCTGCCCAAGACTTTACACCAAGTCGAAAGCGCATATCACTGAATACTGCAGGTGGTAAAGGCTTAGTGAGTATATCAGCCACTTGTTCTGCAGAAGGAACAAAGTTGACACTGAGTTGTTCAGCTAGAACTCTCTCCCTTACAAAGTGAATGTCAATCTCTACATGTTTTATACGAGCATGATGTGTTGGATTTGCTGCCATAGAGATTGCAGAAGTGTTATCACACCACACAACTGGTTTTCCAACTACACTAACCCCAATTTCGTCAAGTAGTTGTTCAATCCAAATCAATTCAGAAACAGAATTAGCAAGGCTTCTATATTCTGCTTCTGATGTTGACCGAGATACAACACTTTGCTTCTTAGAACACCATGCAACTGGATTTCCTCCAAGATAAACACAGTAGCCTGTCGTGGATCGTCTATCTTCCACTGAGGCTGCCCAGTCTGCATCAGTGTAGCAGACCAGACTAAAATTTCCAGATTGAGTGAAAAACAACCCATGCTCAAGTGTACCACTGAGATACCTTAGTATGCGCTTTACTGCCCTCCAATGAGTATCACATGGGCTATTCATGTACTGACTAACTTTGTTAACAGCAAACGCTATGTCAGGTCTTGTTAAACACACATATTGCAATCCTCCCACAATGCTACGATAAAGATGAACATCTCCAAACAACTGTCCATCATTTGCCTTAAGCTTGGGAGTAAGGACCATAGGAGTAGGTGTAGGTGTTGACTCATCTAGATTTGATCTTCTCAATAAATCAGAAATGTACTTCTTCTGATTTAAAATTAAACCTTCTGTAGTATGCTCAACTTGCATTCCAAGAAAGAGCTCTAACTGACCCAAGTCTTTAAGAGAGAACTCCTCACTGATTGCTTGCACTATGGCATCCACTTCCATTTCCTGGCTTCCAGTGATGACTATATCATCAACATACACCATTAAAATCACTTGAGAGCATGCTGAACTTCTGATAAACAAGGAGGAATCAGCTTTTGAAACAGTGAAACCAAGGCTTTTAACCAAAAATTTCCTCAAGGTCTCAAACCATGCTCTAGGAGCTTGTCTAAGCCCATAAAGTGCCTTTTTTAAACAACACACCAGTTCCTGTCCATCTTTACTCTTCTGCTCAAACCCCGGAGGCTGACTCATGTAAATTTCCTCAGTTAACTTCCCATTGAGGAATGCATTGTTAATATCAATTTGTCTAAGTGGCCAGTTCTTCATGACACCAACAGCCAACACGGTCCTGATTGTGCTTGCTCGAACAACTGGACTAAATGTCTCAGAGAAGTCTCTCCCTACCACTTGTGAATAGCCCTTGGCAACCAGACGAGCCTTAAACCTGTCAACTGACCCATCAGGCTTCTTTTTAACTTTAAAAAGCCACTTGCAGCCCACTGCTTTGCGTGTAGGTGGCAGAGGTTTCAACTCCCACGTACCATTCTTCATAAGAGCATTATACTCACTGTGAACTGCTTCACACCAATGAGGATGTTGCAGTGCTTCATAGACACTAGTTGGCTCTTGAGGACTTGTCTCAGCAAGCAATATTTTGGGTTTGAAAATTCCAGCCTTCCCTCGAGTAACCATGGAATGTGTATTCTGAACTTGCCGTGACAGTGGTGGTGATGGTGATGGAGATGGAGATGGTAGAAGTGGTGATGGTGATGGAGATGAAGATGATGGTAGTGATGTAGATGATTGAGATGGTGGTAGTGATGTAGTAGTTGTGAATGGATGAGACGAAGATGATGTGGATGGTTGTGATGAAGGTGCATTGGATGGTGATGAGGTGAATGAATGTGATGATGTTGAAGGTGTGATAGGTGGTAGATTTAAAGGATGAGGTGTTGATATTGGTGATGATAACTCTGACATTTGTTGTGGTAAAGAGGAAGATGGTAAGACTAACTTGTGAATGTGTGTGTTAGTGGAAGAAAGAAAAAAAAGGATAAAACATACTGCCTTGGGAGCTAATATTTTTGATACTTGAACACTTTTGTTCAGTTTTAATAGGATTGTATATCATAGATGGAGTGGAGGTACTAGAAGGATTTTGAAGTTGTTGATAAGGAAACTCATTTTCTTCAAAGCGAACATGTCTTGACACATAGACTCGACCACTAGAATCTAAGCATTTGTATCCCTTATGAGTAGGAGAGTAACCCAAGAAGACACAAGCAGAGGACCGAAACTGAAATTTATGTTGATTATAAGGTCTTAGAAACGGGTAACACACACAACCAAAAACTCTTAAAAAACTATAATCAGGTGTTTTGTGAAAAAGTTTTTCATATGGTGAAACGCCAGACAATGCTCGAGTAGGTAACCGATTAATAAGAAACACTGCACTAGAAAAAGCATCATTCCAGAAACTTAATGGCATTGTGGCTTGAGCTAGCATAGAGAGACCTACCTCAACTATTGGTCGATGCTTCCTTTCTACTAGGCCATTTTGTTCTGAAGTGTGAGGACAAGACATCCTGTGCACAATGCCTTGCTCTTTCATATAGGCTTGAAGAACACCAAACTCGCCCCCTCCATCTGACTGAAACACCTTGAGTTTGACACCAAACTGCCTTTCTACCTGTTTATGAAACTGAAGAAAAACAGTTTTTGACTTCAGATTTTTGTTTTAAAAAATAGATCCAAGTATACCTACTATGTGCATCAGTGAAGGCAACATAATATCTGAATCCATTAGAGTACACAGGAGCAGGACCCCATACATAAGAAACTACAAGCTCTAAAGGTTGTGAGTAAACAGTAAGTGATTCATAAAAGGGCAGTTTATGTGACTTAGCAAGCTGACATGCTTTGCACAACATTTGATCTTTATTTATATCAAAAGGAATTACATTGTAGTGTTTTAATGCAAAAAACAAAACTTCTTTAGAAGGATGACCTAGCCTTTTGTGCCATACATCCATAGACACTCTAGTATTTACAATATGGCAGCTTATTGAAGACACAGAATTATGAGCAGAATTATTAATATGAAGCCTATCACTAGTAGGCAGACAACTGTTATTATCACCAGAGTCACTACCAACAGGTTTATTTATGTCAATATTGAATTTGTATAGTCCTCCATCTTCACTTCCTTTTAACAGAATTTTCCGAGTGTGCAGGTCACGAACTTGACAAAAATCAGGATAAAACTCAAGCAGAACCTGATTGTCCTGAGTGAATTTAGACACAGATAACAAATTTTTAGTGATATTGGGCACATACAGTAGTCTATTTAAATGAAACTTATTAGACCTGGCACAGAAAAATGAGTTACTAGTGTACTGTATTGGCAGAGAATTACCATTACCAACAATCACACTACCTGTTCCAGAATGAGTATCTTTAACCTGTAGGTTGTTAAAATCTTTAGTGATATGGTGTGTTGCTCCAGAATCAGGATACCATGCATTATCATCCACAATTTCTGGTGTAGCTATGTAAGCTTGAGATGCAGTATGAGACTGAATAGGGGCTGTGGACTGAGGTGTATTTGCAGAGGGAAAAGAGGACATATTGTAAGGATTTGGGCAGGCCTGCTGATGAACAGC